GAGAGATCCAGATAACACTGGAACCAGAGCGATAATCTTTGTTCGCACCATTAGTTAATTGTTTCTTAAATATTCATACCAAATATTTAAAGCACCAACCACCTTCATTAAAAAGCTGCTTCCCTGTGGAAGATCAGTCAGATTTAACCACCAGTATAGTAGCTAGCCGTTGTGTATGTTGTTCTCTCATTCATTGCTTCCTAATTTCATTTTTTATCATGAAAACTCATCTGAGAAGAAAGATACCAGTGACTGTATATTGATGCCAGTGGTAAGAATTGTGCCGCCCCTCATAATAATTAGAACTAAGGCACTAGAGTCTACTGAAGCAAAGAAATACTGCTGGAGTTGAAACACCAAGTCCATCGGTGACTTTTAGAGTGGCTCGCGATTGGAGGCACTCGCCAGTAAAAATGTCTGACCATTCTGTGGTGTTCCTAAACGAAAGAGATGTGTCACGGCAGTTTCTAAGGCAGACTTCTATTACATGAATTCCATTTTTATAGATTGGGAGTATTTCAGTATAAAAGTCTGTCACTGGAAATATAACATATTTAAGAGTATACTAATTTTTATATGTATGATGTTTTCCATGATAAAAAGAAAAATTATACAAGTGCAGGTAATGTTTAAAAACTATGTATGATACATACGTATGTATTCATACACATATTACACCTACACTACATATATATGTATATTATATATACACACACACACACAGTAGTGCTTAAAGCTGAGTCCAAACACAAGCGATATTAGTGCTCTCTAATCTTTTCTGTGGGCTTACTAGGCTAGCTTGTCAGATGAGTCCACCAGTCCCAAAGTGACCAATTATACCATGTGCATAGCCTCTTTAGTGAATTGAACTAGCATATTTTAATACAATTTTAGCAGACAGTTTTCATAAAAAAGACAAAGTGGGGAAATCACAGCTCTTACAAAGGCCTGAGAAAGGTCCAATTTTAGCCTTCATTCAAGGAACTCAGTGGCATTTTCTCATTCAGTTAGCAATTACTTTGCTTAGATTAAATTTTTAAAAATAAAGTTATTGAAGGGTCAATAAAGTTAATACCTGCACCTTTGTGTAGCCATGCGCATTGGAAAAGCCTGTTCAGAACACAGTTTAATAGTGTGTGCATCTTCTGGAATAAAGTAGAGTATGAATAAATCAGTTACTCTTCTTGATATCAAAAGAAGTCATCCTCAATCAGAAAAGCAGTTTGTAACAGCAGTGCTGGTGAAGGCGGCAGGTTAATGTTAAGCAGTAGGGACTGCTAACTCTGTCTCCCTGAACTTCTCTCAGTTAGGGTATCAGTTACATATGTTGTCCCTGTGCTGTCTTGATTTTACCTTTTCAAATACAGTTGTCCCCACTTATGCACAGTTTCGGTCGATCGTGATCTAGAAATATTAAATGGAAATTCCCAGAAATAAGCAATTCATAAGATTTAAATTGCACACTGTTCTGAGTAGTGTGATATTCTTGTGTTGGCCTGCCCTGTCCCACCAGGCACATGAATCAAGTGCGGCTAAACCAAGCCTGGCTCCCTGGCTCTCCTTGGATAGCTTGAGCGTAATGGAAAGCACTCAGTGCTTTGTTAACACAGTGGCGCAGGCAACTTAAGAAACCAGCAGGCTTTCTTGCCTGAGATTATATTTGAAAAGGAGGTGGCATACACCTTCCACAGTGTTCAGGGAGGTGTCTACTGTAAGTTTCATTGAGAAAACCAGGACAAGAGGGTTAAAACAATCCCTTGAGTCTGAAAGGGAGTCTGTAATGAGACACAGCATTATGCTCTGAGTACACAGTGGTGGGAGTGGTGGGGCACCAGAGTGAAGCTCATTCTGGAGTGAGCCACCAGGGTCAGGTTCGAGCTTTGCCAACTAAATTCTGTGTCTGCTAGGAGGTGCCATGTAGCCTGCCATCGTGTGATACAATCCAGTGAACACACCGTAGTAGTTCGTAATCTATATGTCTCAGTGGCCTCTAGTGACGTCATTGGGCACATCCCTTGGCACCGCCTGGTGAGAGCTGTGCTGCTCTGGTTTCCATTCTCCGCTCAGAGGGTCTCTGCTGACGTCACTACATCTTAGTTTCCTGATCCTGCAAAAGGCGCACATGCGTTGCACACCCCTGGTGGGCACACGTGTCTTCCATCATTTTGTCTTCGCCTTTCTCCCTTGTTGGACACTGCGTCCCGCTAATGAGCGCGGGAACTTGGGGATCCAAAAGAAGCCGAGGGAAACACGAGTTCGGGCGCCTCTTCTATACGCGGTTCTGAGGCATGATGTCCCATCATCACTTATTCCACCTTTAGTTCTTAATTTGCTGACATTTTCAAACAGGTACTGCTTTCTCACTGTGGAAGGTGACCTTAGTATGGCTATTGCTTTTCTTCTGACTTATATAAAGTATAATGTATATACTTTTACTGGTAATCACTCTATTATGTAGAGAGATTTCAATTTGAATTACATGATTAGCTTTAATTTTTGGTATTACTAGTTTACAATGAGCAAGTAAAAGGAGTTTTATTATAATAGATTTCCAGTTCTTCCCTTCCAGTAATAGTGCTCACTTCTTTTTATCTTTAACAATTAATTGCTGCACTTTCAAAGAAATCATGGTGCTTTTTTTCCTTCCATCTGTACAAGTTCGTAGGAATCAAGGAACAGTAACTTCACACGCATGCAACGTCTTCTTCGTTTTCTGTTAAGTGGGCTTTTGCAAAGGTGGCCGTGGCACATTAAACATCTTAGGGCAGGGGTGGGCAAACTTTTTGACTCGAGGGCCACAATGGGTTCTTAAACTGGACCGGAGGGCCGGAACAAAAGCATGGATGGAGTGTTTGTGTGAACTAATATAAATTCAAAGTAAACATCATTACATAAAAGGGCACGGTCTTTTTTTTTTTTTTTTTAGTTCATTTCAAACAGGCCGGATCCAGCCCGCGGGCCGTAGTTTGCCCACGGCTGTCTTAGGGCAAAGGTGGCCGCGGCACATTAAACATCTTAGAATGTTTATACTCATCTTTTCCTTTAATCTCTTTGTGTTTTGTTTACTCCAAATTATAGACCAGTTCTCTTTACTAAAAAGTACAGCACCCCATTTTCTGCGTAGTGCTTGGGGCAGCGAGTTTGTATCATTTACAATTGCTGTAGTAAAGGGGGCTGTCCTACCAGTCCCACTCCTGTCAGAACAGTGCACCATCGGATGCTTTTAAATATTGACCCTGAGCATTAGATAATGCGTAGAGACTATGAACACCAGAGTTCCCTTCTTACCTCCACTGTCAGGGTGGACTTAGTAGGTGGACTTCATCTGCTTCTTTATTTTGCTGTGATAAAGTTTATCCTGTAATATTTCCACACTTGAGATTAGAGAACAAAATTAAAGATTTCTCATACCAATCATTTAAAATAGAAAGCTCCAGCAAATCACCTGGCATTTGGGAGTGAGTGGGGAGGTGGTTCGATGGGGAGTGAGTAGTAGTCTCTATTCTCCGGGGGCTTCTTTGTTGATGATGATGCACAACACACGATAATTCAGGGCAGGAGCCATGTAATGGGGGGACGGCTTTGAGAAGGTAGCATTTGTGTGGCAGTTTGCCGGGGTCAGTAGGGTTTGGGCAGTAGTGGATAGAGTGCAGAGGAACATTCAAGATGGAGGCACATGCATACAGATGAGTAGAGTAGTGATTTGGTTTGATTTATAACAAGATGTGTTTTTTAAAATGGTAAGATTAGTGAGTTTAACTTGAGAACATAGTTTGGGGCCAGATCATAGGTAGCTTAAATGGTTTATACTTGTAGATAGTAAGAAACCCTGAAAGGTTTTGAGACATAAAATTGTTAAGCATTAAGATGAAAGTTGCATTTGGGGCAATTAATCTGGCCATTGTGTATAGATTGATGGTGAACAGACATCATTAACATAATTTTGTAGTAGTTTTGATAAGACCCCAATAATGACTAGAACAAGGGTGACATCAGTAACAGGGAGGCATGGGGTGAATCCAAGGTAAATAGGATGGCTAACCATTTTGATAATCTGATGGTCCTGGGTTATACCTGATATTAATAGTACCCCTGCTGGCTTTCACATGTTTAATGGTTTGGACATCAAATGATAACTCTAAAGGTAGATTTGCTTAAGAGTTGATAGCATTTGCTAAATTTAGCAGGGGAGAGAGGGATGTTGGCCATGTATATATACACAACATATATACACATACATACATACATACACACACACACATATAATTTTTAGAAATTTTTAGAAGTTCTCATGACTATTAAATTTTTCTTTTTGAGACTTAAACAGACAATTCTCTTATCTGAATGCCACAATCAAGTCTTACATGTTTAAAATCCCTATTTTTGTTTTGTTTTGTCTTTTTGTTGTTGTTAATCCTCACCCAAGGATATTTTTTCCATTGATTTTTAGAGAGAGTGGAAGGGAGGGAGGGGAGAGAGAGAAACAGAAGCATCATTGTGAGACGCTTCGACCTGGGCTAGAGATCAAACTTGCAACCCAGGTACATGCCCTTGACTGGGAATTGAGCACTCAGCCCTTTGGTGTGTGGGCTGATGCTGTAACCACTGAGCACACCAATCAGGGCTATTTCTGGTCTTAATGAATACATTTGAGCTTTGAAATCTTTAACAAAATAATAGATGCTAAAGAGAACATACTATATTTAATCTCATCTAACATTTTCCTTTATTCCATTTAAAAGCAAAGCCTTTTAGGAGAACTGTAATAAATCAGTGCAACTTATATTTTAAAATTCCAAGTAGAAAAGCAGCCAGTGTCAGCTGAGTGTCCCATGTATCCACGTGCCCTCAGTGAGAGAGCAGTCTTCCTAATTGAAGGAAGATCTTCCTAATTGAAGCAGGTGGCTAGAGTCACGATGTCTCTTTTAAGGCTGGAGCGTGGATGTGGCTCTGATGTATGTGGACCACCTTAAGTGCTCTTGCTCTGTTTCCATATATAGGCAGAGGGAGAAGACAGCCTGAAGAAGATGCAGCTGATGGAGCTTGCGATTCTGAATGGCACCTACAGAGATGCCAACATTAAATCACGTAAGAACGCGACTGGGGCCAGGCTGACAGCATCTCAGCTGTTTGTCCACAAAGCTTTCTCCTTTGGTGGCGTAACATGAACAGTTCAAACAAAGTGAGGAGTTGAAATGACTGTAACTGGATATGGGCCCACAGCCCCTTTACTGCATAATGAATTGTGGACACTCTCCTTGGTTTTATTTTATTCCAGCATGTCTTTTCAGTTCTAAAAGGTTTATGAACTTTATTCTTTTAATGAAATTTCAACTTCTAAATATAAGAGTTTAATGAAATTTCCTGTGTTGTTAACTACAGATTTAAGGCTTCTAGCTTATTTTGTTACATTTATGAAAAGGACAAAAAATGCAAAGCTTTTTGAGAGTCAGTTGGGAGTGTGTGCGTGCAGCAACCCTCCTGTCGCACTCTGTCCCTTCGGCATGTCCCCTCAGTGGCTTAGGCAATGCTTTGCGTTCACGGAGGGCGGTAGTGATAACTGTTTTAGCCCCATTTCCCGCTTTCGTTGTATTTGCGCATGCTCTCATAAATGCGTTGAGGATTGCTTTTTTATATTTAAAATGAAATCCTGTAAAATTTTTATTTTTGAGAAAATCTAAGGGTAAATTACTAATATTACTAATTTTTTTGAATGTAGACAACCTGTTGGGTTTAGAAGTATTTGCTTTACCAATAGTTGGCTTCTATTTACTTATAAGAATGGGTCTGTTAGGAATGGAACGTTTACTGTGCAAGGTGAGCACAAGTAGGTTTACAATGGTATACGCGAAATAGCTTATTCTTGTACTATTACTTATTATTGTATTATTTCCCATACAAACAACTATAAACCTACTTGTGCCCCACCCTGTGTTGTTTTTCTCTGAGAAGTTAATTCCTACATATGCAGGAACTTTATATATAAGTCGTAGTTAGTTGGCTTACTTAATACAATAAAAACGATTCTTTAAAAACAATTCTTTAATTTGAAACTGAAGCTACTCTATTAGAAATTATAGCAAAACTGTTTCTGGGGACTCCAATTACAAAATATTTTTTTAAACATTTTTTTAATGCAACTTTTGTGCTTCTGCATGCACCTTTTTAGCCTCATGAGGTCTTAAAAACATAGACATATCACATACATGCACTAAATATAACCTATTTTAATGGTCTCTCTCTTTTTTTTAACAGTGGCTTTTAGTTTTTGCACATTTGTTCTTAATCACATTGGGAAAGGGAAAGCCGTTTGCAGTTGATTGGTGTGCTTGGGCATTGTGTGTGACCAGCGCATGTACTAATGATTTCCTTTTATTTTTCTTCTTTCCTGCTTTTTTCTTTCTTTTTCCTACTTCCCTCTCATTTCCTGTATTTACACCGCTTTCTCTGTACTTCCTTCTAAATTTCTTTGCTTACTGTAGCAGCCCTTGCCTTTTCTCTTGCAGCAACAGCCCAGGCTGCTCCAAGGATTATTACTGGGCCTGCGCCTGTTCTCCCACCAGCTGCCCTGCGCACCCCGACGCCAGCTGGCCCTACCATAATGCCTTTGATCAGACAAATACAGACCGCGGTCATGCCAAATGGAACTCCTCACCCCACTGCTGCAATAGTTCCTCCGGGGCCTGAAGCTGGTTTAATCTACACACCCTACGAATACCCCTACACGTTGGCACCAGCTACGTCAATCCTTGAGTACCCTATTGAACCTAGCGGCGTATTAGGTAAGTTGTTTTCTCTGTGTGGTTAACATGTTTCTTCAAAACGTTTTCTGCCCCAGACTTTGAAATTATTGTATCAGTTTTAGAGAGACAAGTTTCCATTAGGAAAGACTGAAGACTAAATTTTGTTTTATTTCAGCCCCCCATAAGGGTTCTCCTTTTAAATAATTGCATCTTAGATTTGTTCAGATTTGCTTTGGTATCTCAGATTCGCTCTGGATGGGTAAATTTGAACATTTCAAATAGGAAATACTTTTCACATTTGACATCACTGACCCTATCCACTGGCATATTCTCTCCTTCAGTTTTGCCACAAAGTCAGATTCTTTTCGTCTCAGAGATTTCTTTAATTGTTAGCTAAATTTTAATTACCCATGTGAAAATATTTTGAGATTTTAAAAACTGCTATAATTGTATGTATTTTCTAATATTTGTGATAACTTAAAATATGAAAGGGTCCCAGTGAATAGCTACATTCAGGTTTTTGTAGTTCTTCTCTTTTGAAGTCCAGGTTAATGTTAAACATAAGAGAACTCCTCATTTCATAGCACGGTTGGAATTGATAAGTAAATACCAAATCACTGCAGTAGAATCCCTCTTGAGGCAAAAATTAAGATCATACTATAAACGCTCCGTTTTACATGAACAAAAGTGGTGGTTGGAAGACATTACTGACGCCTTTTCTTTATAGAGTGGATTGAAATGCCAGTCATGCCTGATATTTCAGCCCATTGACTTGCGGACGAAGGACTAGAGCGCAGCAGCTGTTGTAACACGACCAGTCACTGTGGAGCAGGCTGCTTCCATGCTGCCCTTTGTGTTACAGACAGAATCTGAATCCTCTTTCCTTGAATGGTGTATGACCTTGGTGCTGCTTGCATGCTCTTGACTTGTAGGACTTTGATCTTTTAAGGTGTTTTTTTCCAGCATTCATATTGACTTACAAAATTTGAAAGCCTTTAATGAACCCGGACAAAGATTTAAACTTGAAAATTCATTGTTCTATTAAAGCCACAACACTCTGTATGTTATCTGTGTGTGTGCATGCACTCAAGTGCCTTCTGTTTCATGAGCAAATACATTTTATTGTACATGTCTTTGGTTATCTCTAAACATTGTATAAAGTATTCCAGGTCAGAATTATACCATAGAACTGTTTATGAAAGGCTTGTTTCTGTTGCACATTTCTTGAAGCATTTTTACAATAACATGTAACATATAACCTGTTTACGTCTTCTGTTCTGTTAACGCTCTGTCCTGCGGCCCCATGCCTGCTCCTTCCCCAGAGCTCCTCTCTGCTGCACGCACAGCGTCTGTTGGAGGAGTTGGACTGTTGCTTCCTGCAAGGCTGGAGCTCTCAGCCACAGCTGCTGCTCCAGCTCCGAGCAGGGTCTCACTGAGCTTGCCTCGAGGCATTAGACTTGTAGTGATCACTTATCTGAAATGTCAAGGGATGATGGACCAGTTTACTGCTTAGAAACAACAAGGGGCACTGCAGAGTGTTTCTCATTGTAAAGCAATGTATTTTTGGTTGTGTTGGGAAATTTTTATTTGTAATACTTAATTCTTAGACTGACAAAAGCAGAACATACCGATACCTAATTGGCAATCATAAGATGAATAATAATGAGTACTAAATGAGAAAAATCCATTATGATCGATTTTATTTCTCACTTTGCCACCTAAGCAGTAAAACATGATGATTGACCATTTGGAGAATTGAGAAAATTACTTCAAATTGCTGTTATAGTAAATTTGCACACAGATAACATGCATGCTCTATATCAAGTCTCACATCATACTATTTTAAAATAAGCAGTGCCCTTCAAAACAGATGCAGACATGTGTGTTGGTGGTAGTGAGGAGATTGGTAATAGCATCAAATCTTCATTGGTGACTAATTTTTAATTCCCTTCCTTTTATCTTCAGGTATGGCTTTCCCAACGAAAGGCTAAGAATTCAAGAACGGTCTTAACTGAACCCTCATCAGATCTGAATTTAACAAACGCTTAGTCTCAGCAGCGGGGGGAGGGAAGCTTAGCCTAGCAGTCAGTGACTTACTTGCACTTTTGCACACTGATAGAAAGTAAACGTATGTTATTAATTTGGTTTAGTCTGTAATCTTACAAAATAACGGTAATTTATAAAGGAGTGTATAGTAGTATACTGACTGCTAAGTGTACTATACTGTTTGCTTTACTAATCACCTAATTCATTGCAGTTCATACTTATTGACTCAGAGTTTAAAACCACAATCTGTAGGCTTTAAGAATTGCTTATAAACCTTTTTAAGTAATAAACTCTGGAAGCGGTCTTAAGGTTAGCAAGTAATTGTCAGTATTAAACATGGCATTATTTTTCATCCTCCTGCAAGAAAGGCACTTCAGTGAATATGTGACTAGTAAAGCTTCAAGGTTGGAACTAGTGGAGTTCATGAAGTACTGTGACTTGGGATTGTAAATGAATGGATGACATAGGTTAAGGCCAAGATGTTTGAAGTGAATGCAATATTAATAGACGCATATATACGCAACATATTATGGTTAATTTTAAAACTACTGTGCCTTAACGTGTTTCTTAAAACGAAATTTTTGTAGTAAATGAACATTTAAAATCCCATTTTGATAAACCTGCTGTTAATGTTTGTTTTCTTTTCCCTTGTGAATGTTTTCTAACTTTGTCTTGGTGATTGCAATTTAACTAGGTGCGGTGGCTACTAAAGTTCGAAGGCACGATATGCGTGTCCATCCTTACCAAAGGATTGTGACCGCAGACCGAGGTTAGTTTAGTTCTGCAGTTCTTGTCTATGAGAAATGCGTGGGGTGTCCATACCATTTGCAACACCACACCTGATGGGGAAATGTGTACCTGCTTACTGCACAGCGTTTCCTTTCCTGTTCTGAATTAATTTATGATCATTGACAGATTGAAGGGTTGGGTTTTTTGTTCTTTTCTCCCTTGATGTTTTAACTTATTGAATTCTATTAGTATGTACTATGATTTATTCTTACTACAACATAAATTAGTCCATTTGGGGAGCTATTAAATTTTGTTTTCACCTTAATTATTTTCAGTAAAAATTTTTGCTAAAAGTTACCTTTTAATTATTTTGAAATTTTGGGTTGGTTTTGCAAAATGAACAGAGCGGATGGTTGCTTTAATGAGAGAAGTAAAGGACTATATGCCCTCCTGTGTTCTTTTGGAGAAAACTGAAGATTTAGTTTCCCATTTTCCTTTTTAATAAGATATTTGAGCCACTGTATAAACATGAGGTTAAACATGTCAAGTACTTAGCTGAACTCAGCAAAGTAAGGACTGTGAAGCTAACTTTGATGCAGTTGGATCTTTTATAAGTCAGAAAATCAGTTCCCTTTTATTCTTATGTTTTATTCCAAAATGGATCCTTTGATTTTTGTCATTTGCTGCTAAAATCTATTATCTAAACGTAAACTATCTCTTGAAGTTCTGTGGTGGCATGAACCCAGCTGTTTGAATACTTTCTTTGACTAACCTGTGACTGGAAAATAAGTCTTCATTTTTCTCCTTTTCACCATTTGTAATTTGTGTCCTGTATATGCCCTTGGACCCTTTTATAAATTATTTATTTTTATTGAGGAGTGATATTTTCGGTTTATTGACATTGAATTATTTTTCTGAGCTTGAAATCACAAAGCAAGAAATCTGAAGCAAGGTAGAAGAGGACTTTTACAAGCTTTATTTATGGCACATTTATTACCTACTGATGAAGTTGCTCTAACTATCGGATACTGGTGGGGAAAAGTAATGGATTACACTCCAGTTCTACATCTTAGATGAACTTGTGAGAGGCCTGCCTTCTTCGCATGGTTATCTTGTATACGAATGATAAGTATTGGACACAGCTGTTGTCCTCATCAGAATAAAATACCTTTCCAAAGATATCGACCATCTGTGTTTAGCATCATATATGATTAAAGAGCCTTGAAGACTTTTAACTAATACGTTACTTGTAGTGATTGTTTAATGAACAAAGTAAATAGGCCCCCAAGCTCAGTGATCCTCTGTGAAGACCGCACTCCTGTGAGTGTGGCATGTACAGTGTGTCCTGCTGGCATCAGAGCAAGTCCCTTAGTGAAGGAGGACATTTTCAAGAAGCAAAAATACCATTTAGATTTAAAGAATCCAGATAATTCCATGAGTAATTTGAAGCTTTTTCCCATAGTTATTGGCTGAAATAGTTATGAGTATTTTAAAGTAGTTTGTCTTTTGTTAACCTTTTATTCCCCTTTGAGATTTTCATAATTTTGTTTTAACATAATAATTATTGGCCTACTCAATACTCCAGTACCTTAAGATAGTTGAAAATATTAGGAAGATTTTATTGTATTTCAAAACAAGAACACATTCCATGCATGGCTCTTTTGTAGTTATAAGTGTTTTGATTAGTCTTGTCACTGTTTTTATTCAAAATGCAATGTCAGCAAACCGAAATGCTACCTTTTCTCCCTCTTTCTAAATAACAGAACACTCTGTATACTCTTGTACTGTCACTGTATGCACTCGGGTCTGAGGGAGATGTCTGGAGTCCTTCATTTAAATTATTTTATGATACTACTGTTTTCTCTATTTTTGAGGTTTTTTTTTATTCTTTTAATCTTTTGAAGGAAAGATTAATATGTGTTCACTTAATACAAGGAAATTCAGCCCTTGGACCTGTAACCATGTAATTCTATATGAGCATTTAGAGTATGGCATGGTTGACAAATACCTAGTTCTTTACTAAAAGTAAGCCCACCTCTACACATTTCAGAACTGAATTCGAAGCCTATAAAAGACCAACTGATGTTTTAGTTGAAATGAACCATAAGTGATTTTGCACAGTTGACACACCTGTGTGTACTGTCGAGGCCAGGACTGGGCAGAGGATGTACTGGAGGTGTACTGGTTACAGAAATGGTGCTGTGCTTTGTCTATGGATTCCACATTCAAAACACATGAGGGTTTTTCTGAATAATAATTTTATAAAATCCATTATTTACACAATTTCTATAAGAAACAATACAATTTTAAACAAAAATTTAGTTAATATAAAAATGCTTTAAGATTCTCTATTTCTGAAATACCTATGAAATCGTAGGACTACATGTGAAATATTTATTTTCTTCTTTGATTATGGAATAGCCGCTTTTATTTTAAATAAAATTCTATTTTTAAGCAGTTCAAGGAAGATTTGGTCACACTGAAGACACAGTATTTTTGTAGTATTTATAAACTATCCTACAATGATAGACCATAGAAAGCACTTTTGTTACATGAGGGTAAACCAGTCGATTACGTAGATCATTTAACTCTGTGAAGCCGAGACTTGACTGGGTTTTGATTTACGAAGTGGCACAGACTCTACCTTTGCACTGAAGTATTTTGTATCTCCTCTGCCATAGTCACAGTGGCAACAGTACAGAAATTTCTATCAAACCTCAGAATATAGTAGAAATAACTAAGCTGTTGAATGAGTCTTAAAAATCATACTACTGTTAAGTGGACCAAGTTTGGTGAAGCAGAGAGTGACAGGCTGACTAAGGAAGGAACAACTCAAGGACATTGGGGACGATAACTTTTCCACTTGAGAACTACTTTATGTTTTACTGTAATTTTTTAAAAAAAATTTGTTCTGTTTGTTATTTTGCAGAAGAAAATAGTATTTACAGGTGGCTTCTTTTAAAATATATAAAGCAGGAATGTATATGAAATGTCAGATTTTATTGTATTTGCAGAGAATTAGCTTTGAAATCGAGTAAAGAAAGCTGTAGTTTTAAAATGCCTTATTGGTATCAATTAGAAATTTCTTCTATTTTTTGATGTACTTAGAGCTTTTTGAGTATAGAATTTTAAATGGCAGGATTTTACAGTGTTTACATGCAAGTGCATTTTATAAGTGTCCTATATGTGTAAAATAGTATTTCCAACTGGAAAGTGTTGGCTAGCACAGAAGGCCTGGCCTTTTCCTGGTTCCCATGATGTTGCCTACACTGCTACACTCCAGTTTAGTACTGCTTTGTATCATGAGGCCAAGAAATTCCATGTTGTTTGTAAATAGAACATTGAAAAAGCAATAAACATTTATTGAACAAAAGAAACCTTGTTTGGCCCAGAGTTTATGTTGAACCAAATTGTTCATAGAAATTTAAATTTCTTTAGATTCATTTCTGTTAATCATCAGTTATTAATAATCACCTCCATCATTAATAGCTGCTTTAATGCTTGCATCTGAGAGAATACTAATGCTTAGTAGCAGTCAGATCCTGACAATGCACTGACTGTTCCAGAGTTCTGTATACGGACTATTCATTGTCGCCGTTCTCAGTTCCCTTCATCGAGCTACTAACTATTAGTTGTTAGTTATATTTTATTTCTATTTTTTCCTGTTAACAGTTTTTTTGTGGGAGAGGGCTCTCCTTCATTTGTTCAAATCATGATGTGAAATTGTCATGATTTTTATTGTATTCTGTAGATGGTGTCAATCAGTTCGTCAGAATTACACATGCTTTTTTTTTTTTATTAGTTGTGATTAGTTTTTCATGTTGTCATTAAGCCGTCACTAGCTGAGACTAATCTCTTCTCTATCTTTTCTTTTCTTTTTTTTTTTGTTTTGTTTTTTGTTTCTAACCACCCAGCCGCCACCGGCAACTAACCTATGACCTTCTGACCTCTGAACTCTTCACCCAATGATGACCTGACCATGCCTGCCTGCTGATCAGTTAACTGGTAATCGCCTTTGCTTGCCTGTCGTCAGTGCAGCGAGCTGAGGCACTTGTCCGTTCGTCTTACCATCTAACCAAACAAAAGACAAAGAAATTGTTGTCCTCCAACTCAGCTTTTGGTTTTTGTTGTTATTTTTTCCTGTTTGGGTGAAAATGGTTCTAGAACCTGCACTGAAGTAGTAAAGCAATAAGGCCCAATTCATCCCACAGCCCTGATCATCTTTCCATGCCCCGCCCTAAGCGAACGGTAAGAAGGCCTCCCTTCTGGAGGGAGGCGGACGGCCCCGAACTACTCAGTGACAGGCGGTTACTGTGAGGGACTTCCTAGGAGCCCTTTCCTCATAGCGAGTCCAGCTCTGAATGTACTGTGTGCTGATGCATCATGCATGAACCTTCGGTCAGGGATGTCAGTGGTGAAGCGATTTCACAAGTATTCAAAATTGGATATGCTGTTTAGTCACTACAGTGCCCTCAAAGGGCAGCATCGCAGCCTTTCATGTTGCCTGCCAAATTGGAAGTATCGGGAGTGTGCCATGAGAGAAAAACTTGAGGAATTTTGAAAAGTAATGCAAAGAACAAAACTGCAACACTATTTTTAAAAAGATAAATATCTGAGTTAAAATTACTGAACCTTTATTTTACAGCTCCTTAAAACATATGAGAACAAGGTACATGCATTATGTGTCACATTACTGGGCAAACTGTTCAAATATTTTTTTTAAACCTCCCTGTATAGAAAAAAAATCATTAAGGATGTAAAAGCCATGCTTGCCTATTTGCTGTATACATGTAATGAAATTGTAGATAAAGTGTAGTGCATTGAAACAAATGAACAAAAAGTAGATACTTTTACTATACAAGGGTGCTGGTGCAGAAAAAATATATATATTTTTGGAAATGTAGCATTTTATACTTTCAAGTGTTATAAAAAAAAAAGAAAAAGAACAAAGAAACCCTTTATTTCATTAAATGATTTTTTCTGGTGGTTGTCAAGAAACAAAAGACCAAAAGAGCCTTTTTGTCTTTCTTTTTTATTTTTTAAGTATTGGAATAAGTCTAAAGAAAAGGAAGTGCCTTATTTTTCTTCATGGTCATTTAGTCAAGTGTCTCGTAAGATCAGCTCCTCCCTCAGAATACAAGTTAATGCATGTTACTCAGTCGCCCAGTATGTGAAAGAAGATGTGAGGGAGACAGATGAGTTGATGGTTTGAATTTTATAATTTTTGCCACTTTACCTTGATACAAATTTGCCAAATCTGATACTGTGAAAAAAATGGATAATTTTTCTAATGCCTGACTCATAAGTTTTGAAACATTCTTTTAAAATCATAATTGATTGCTTTTTATTATTGCAATATTTAATGTTACCCCAAAGGACTCTGAGATAAAAACTGATTTGAACATCAGTTTACAGACAGAATTCGAGCTCTTTTTTTATTTGGAGACGAGGGTGTGTAATTGACCCAGACTTGATCAGACTTCTTTCTGCCACACCAGGTCCCGGGGGCAGTTTCCCCTGCTAGTTTTACTAACCTAATCTGCCCCCACACACACCCTAACACACTTTATTTTAACTTTAAAAGATAGTGAAAAACTAGCATCATTGTGCACATGTACAAGTACTCCAACTACAATCTGAGTTGAAGCTTCCAGTTTCTCATGAAGTTCAGTTAGTGCTGTAGTTGAAGTGGTTTGTGCACAGAGCCTACATCTATCTAAACCCTCAATGAACTGCTCAGTACCAGGCGTGGCAAATATCAAGGGGCAGTGGGTCCCCAGCTCATCAGTCGTCCCTCCTACGTACCTGCACAGTCAAGGTCAGCAACAGCTCAGTGAGCACCGTGGTGACCGGCACCCTCTCTCCCTTGGAACCGGTTCAGTTCATTTACTATGCAATAGACTCATTGTTTTATAGCCGCCAGCTTCCATGTCATGTGCCACTGCTTCGTCTTTCTGTTACACAGACAGTTGTTTTGATTTATTTACAATATGTGCTGTGCCATTTTGATTTTGATTTTGGTTGGTTGGTTGAATAAATTTGCGACACTCAAACACTTGAGGTGATAGTAGTTTAAAAACAGTACCAGTATTTGATCCAGTTTCATCTCAGCTGTGTTATACCTGGACATTTTAGATGTTTATCAAAGGTCTTTTATGGGGAAGAAAGAAAATGTATGAAATAGATGTGTGACATTTATGAGTAAGGTTGGCTCTGAACAAACTTTTGAAAACTTAGTTGAAACAATTTTGGATCAACTAAAAATAAGCATGACTTTTGAAATCTCTGAATGCCTTGGTTCTCAGTATTATCATTCTTTATTGAATTTATTTCTTATTAAAATATGTAGTTTTTAAGACTTTTTTTGACAGTATTATGTAATTTTCTAGCGTGGGTAGATGGGAGTGTCGCTTGTATGTTATCGTACAGCTGACATGTATTTTTGTCTATTCTTTATTATCTTAGTAGTTTCATGCTATGTATGTACCATAACCAACCTATTGCCTATGAGAAACATGTAAGATAATGTATTTACAGCCATTGTTACAAGTTTATAATGTATTTTTCTATCTTGTTTTATATGTATGTTATATAACATTCAAAAAGAATTTTTTTCTTGATTGAGAAAAGGATACAAAATGCAAAATCCACAATTTTGATAACTGAAAATTGCCAATTGTTTTGCAGTACTTTATTATATTGGGTGTCTTGTCTTTCTTGGGCTTTTTAGTTAGCTAATGAATGAATACATTAGATACTTTTGGGTTTTAGTTGGGATTTTACATAGCTTGCGTTTTAATTCTTTGGTTCTTTGCTGTTTCTATTAACCCATGGCATTATTTTAATAAATGTTATAATACCAACCTACTAACTCTGGACTTTGTCTGTTTATTAACCTTTACGTGTTTAATTGAAATAGACAAATAAAGACACAAGAATGTCAAGTCTTTAGTTACTGGACTAACCCTGAGGAACGTGACCACAGATAACACAGCGTGACTTGTGTTTGTGTTTGTCAGCTGACAGTTCCGCACACTACGTTACAATGGCTTTGTTATTCTTTCACTTTGGGGGAGTGGGGGGTAGGTGCCAGTAGAGATGGGAACAGAGTAGCTTTGGTGTGAGGCAGTCTTCTAGTCTTGCCACTTGGCTTTGGGCCTCTGCATTACTAATTCCACACTTTATCTTTTCTTCTCCAGAATAATCACTGTCTGCTCCCAGCATTGAGGGGAAAGAAGTTCATTGTCATGATCTAGCCCAGTGATGGCGAACCTCTGACACGCGTGTCAGAAGTGACACGCAAACTCATTTTTTTGGTTGATTTTTCTTTGTTAAATGGCATTTAAATATATAAAATAAATTTCAAAAATATAAGTCTTTTACTATGGTTGCAAATATCAAAAAATTTCTATGTGTGACACGGCACCAGAGTTAAGTTAGGGTTTTTCAAAACGCTGACACACCGACCTCAAAAGGTTCGCCATCACTGCTCTAGCCCAAGAAACCAGTTTGATTCTTTGTTGAACCATTTCTTGTCATTTCTGCAAGTAGGTAGTGTTATGTTTACATCACAAAGCAAAGAATCTGCTGATGTTTTGTCATTTTAATTGGACACTGGGGGCACTCAGCAGGGGTAAAGCCAGAGGCAGCACAGCTGGATGCTCAGTCCCCAGGGGTCCCTCCCTCCCTCCCTCCTCTGGGTGCAGTCAGAGCTGCACATCAATACAGGAAGTTGAGGGGGGCGGGTTAGGAAACGCGTCAGAAAAGCTATCCATGAATTTCTTGCATGCAAGTCAACTTAAAAAGAGTTATTAAATGTCTCCATGCTTTTCCCAGCTGCAGCCCGGTAAACTGGCCTGTGTTTATGAATCTTTAGTTCAGCCCTTGGAGTGCATTTCTGCTTCACAGATACTGTTACTTTCTTCTGCGAAACATCTCCTGGACAATAAAAAATTCTTAGGGTGAATGTTTACATTCATAAACACGGCTCATTTTTATAAATTACGTTTTCTTTATTGTGAAGTTCTGAAACTTGGGGCTGAAATGAGTCACGTGTTGCAGAAGACATGACTCTACGGGTATGCTTTTCATGCTCCGGCAGTGTTCTCATGTTACAGGCATTCCTTCCCACAGTGCAGGTCGCATGTCACACAGGAGCGTGAGCCCAGGGGACGCAGGCAGAATCCAGAGGGTCGTCCGGTCCCGGAAGCTCAGCGGCTTCTCGTGGGGTGTGGTGGGCGGGCGGCGCTCATGTGCTGGTGCTGTCACTGCAGGACCCGGACAGCATCTGCCCGCTGCTCATACCCGTCCCCGGGGCCGGCGTGACTCCGTGCGGGTTCCCCCCCTCTGCAGCCTCGTCCCAGTCACACTCCAGGGC